TTGACGTGTGCTTGATATTCATTTCTAAAAGTTAATTAGTAATATACAACTATAATTATATATGTTACTGTGTAACATTTATTACACAGTAACATATATAATTATAGTTGCATATTACGTTTTTCAGATGACATCTTCCCTCCATGGGTACACCTTGACGTGGTGAGAGGGCTCAGTACCCGGAGGATATATACGAAAAAAACGATTTTTCTTAAATACCTAAAAAATTTTAGATCTATCTGAATGATATATCTAGATACATTTTTAGGTATTGAGAAAAATCGTTCTCTTCGTATAAATCCAATGGGGAAGCCAACGTACCCTCGTCGTCGAATTGAAAGTGAACGAACCGCAGCCGGTTCGTCGCGTCGCGCGTTTGCTCCGGGAGTGCCGTTAAAGTTATCGGACTAATAGACTTTTAACAAAACTCATTTGATAAAATTCTATTTCGGCGATGAAATCATATCTGCGACGTTTCGACAGGAAAGCGGAACTCTCTTTGGGACGTTGCTTAGGTGGCCACGGTCACTGCAACGCTCTCACGCCAAGTGTCCGGGCACGAGGTGATGCCGGCCGCGTAATGTCACGCACTTCGTGGTGCGTGTTTGCGCGGTTTAGCAACTACTGTTGCTGTCGGCTAATTGAGGACGCGCTCTGTCTGTCGGCCAACAGTTCGGCCCTTAGCGTTAAGAAGACGATCGATCGACTCGGATTCTTCTCTGGGCCTGTATTCGATAACTCGAGTTATGCAGTCGTTATGAGCACATAACGATTGCATAACGAGTTACAGAATTCCGCTCTGGTGGGTCGCTCAAAAAGGAGTTGTATAACTCTGGTCAGGGCGCTCATTTCTCTGTCATTATCTATCAGCCTAAATTGCGTTTAATCTGGCTTAGTCAGAGCCTAGCTCTAGTAGTTTTTTTTAAAAACTAGCTTCGTGACGAGGAGTTGGATCCCATTTCCTGGATTGTCTAGATTGTTAGACAATCGGTAATGGTACCAACTTTACTCTTGTTAGAGGAGCTTGTCACGTCTACCAGTCTTTTGGACTCGCTCGAGGTACAGCACCACTTGTGTCCCACTAGAACTAGCAGTTAGGGCGTATCTCTGAGCCAATTTTAAACGTAATTTTGCGTAAAACAGAGGTGACGGACTCGATACGATCGATCATCTTCTTTTGTGTGGGGCTTAACTCTTGTTCGGCATTCACCGTGTGTTTCGCAAGTACTCGTCGACGTGTGGTGTTGATTCCACCGCTCGAAATAGCAATTCTATCATGGGTTTTGTAAACGTGGAGTGCCGCAGTGTCGCGCGAAAGACTTTTATAAATGAATAGTCCGCGCGCGTTTATAGTATAAATATTCGCGAGTGTTTTTACGCGAGTGTCCTGTGCGAGAGGATGATCAACCCGATTCTGAGAGGAGGTGGAGATCTGGGAGAGGCATCGGGCACAGGCGGAGCAACCTTGCGGTAAATATTATTTTTTACTTATGTAATATCAGTATCTTTCTTCTGTTAAATTTATTCTTGAGTAGTTTCATTTTAACGATTTAAAAATGGTAATTAGAATAAAAGGATTATTTTAAAATTTTATAAATATGTATATTTTTAAGAAAATGTATAATTATTTTTATAAATATAACTGAATGGTGAATTAAAAAATTCGATGCTTATAAAAATTATACATTTTGAATATTATATGATTTTATTTTCAAGAGAACTTTGCATTTAGTAATATTTTTTGAAACATTGGTTGATTTTTTTTACTGTATTTTAATTTGAATTTCATTTTTTTTTTGTTACAGAATCATCGTAGCGACGTTGCTGATATAACTCCGCTGTTGCGTATCGGATGGTGAGTCATAAATTAATGTTTTTATTGGGGCAACGGATGTGTGATAATTTTATTAATTACTATAGATCAATAGATGCATATATGCATCAATTTATTAAAAATATACGGATAATTATATGTATCCAGACATCCGTTGCCTTAAAATGGATAAGTTATAACAAATTGGGAAAAACTTAATCCTGGATACCTTTTTATTACATATTTATTGTGCATGCAACTATGAAATTTATAATATCACGTTACACCTACTCAATAAAAAATGTTTTATACATGAATATGTATAAATATGTATGAATATACATAAATATCCATAAATATCTATAATCATACATGAAATATGTCCATACACATTCATACATCCCTCTTTCTTTGTAAAATTATTTGTTAGTGTGATAGAAATAATAATAGTTATGTAGAAACATTAAAAATAATTAAAAGGGTAATTTTGATTTGTTTTAGAAAAAAAATCAAGATTGAAGAAATGTAAAAAAAATTACTTATGAATAATTATAAAATTATGCATAATTGTGTATAAGCAATTTTTTTTACATTTTTCCAAACTTTTATTTTTCTGAAACGAACAATGCGAAAATTAATCCTTTAATTATTTTTGATGTTTTCACATTACTTATTATTTCTATTACACTAAAAAGTAATTTTACAAAAGAAAAAAAGAACATGTATGGACGTACTTCGTATATGATTATACATGTTTATGAATATTTTTATATGTTTATACATATTTATACACATTCATGCATAAAAAATTTTTTACCGGAGCACTTCGAATTAACAATACAAATATTCAAAATAAATAAGAACTATTAAGAGCCAAACGGTGGACGTTCTTATTGCGGAAATAGTATATATAATTACGTTAAAGACATCAATTAAAAATTAAAAGATTAAACATTAAAAATTTGACAATAACCATACGTTTCGATCTTTAATGTGGTCATCTTCAGTGGGAAACTATTGACGTTGAATAATACGTTTAGCTTTTAATTAATTAGAGTCGCATTTAGCTCTTAATAGTCCTTATTTATTTTGAATATTTGTATTTCAATCAAGAGCGTTAATATGAACGCTTTGTTATTAAATAATTTAATCTCAAAAAAGTACGATTAAAAAATAGATTCTTTCGATAGTCGTTTTTTATATTATTATAAAATAATACATTTTGGAAGTTAAACAAAAAAGAATAAAAATAAAAGAATAAAATGTACGTATTTTTTAAATATATGAAATACGGGAATTTAAAAAATATAAAGATAAAATAATAATTAAAGTATGAAATTATCGTCTATGGATATCATTATACAGAATAGTGATTATTACAATTTAATAAATATTATTTTATTATTTTTCCTATCTATCCTATCCTCAAATATTTATTCAGGATTAAGTTTTATAGAAGTTGGTGCAAAAAAGCAATATCTATATACACATATACGTATAATATGAACTGTTTTTTAAAGAATTTCGTCTATTATTTTACACTTCTTTATATAAAAGTTATTAATGAAATGATAACAAAAATTTTAAATTGTACAGCATATAATTTTAATCTCGCTTTTTTGTAAAAGACATTTTACGTTTATTAATTATTATTATTTATCTCAATGCACTTACTTCAGCCTAATATTTTATAACTTATCTATATGTAGTAACTGGAGTTTATACCAGTTAAAATAATAACATGATGTAAGATCCAATATACATTTTATAAAAAAATAAAAGAATTTCATTTCATAATTATTTCAAAATTGTGTTCAGAATTTTGCATGATTTAAAATATTTAATTTTGAAATAATAAATTATACAAAATATCATGCGAATAATACATAAAATATAATAGGGATATATTTATTGATATAAGGGAAAATTATCCCTTCCGTATCTTACATCATTCATCTGAATTTCTCATTTCCGCATGCTTGAAATGAGCTTCAGCAACGAATCATTCGAATCGTTAAAAATACGTATATGGGCTTTGAATTTTATCGAATGATAGTCGATTTAGTAATTTTCAGTTTATTTTTAAATTAAAGTTTTATTTTTTATATAGTAATGTTTATATTAAAAAATTTAATCTATTTTAATATTTTAGACTTTTAAAATAAAAACGTTATTGACTTAAAAATTTTTTTAATTTAGATTAATTTTTAGTCGAATATTTTTAATTTAGAATAAACGCGAATAGAGAATAAACCCGACATTTATTCGTTGTATATTAATAGAATTATTATTATTATTATTATTAATGATTATTCATATTACAATTTCATTGATATGATGGCCCCTCGCGACGCGTTCGTGTTCCGCGCATCGTATACTATATAAGCGTAAAATCTTACGCTTATTGCCGGCAATGTTAGTCGGTAGCAAAAAGGAGTACTTCTCCTTATTTTTGTTTTCTGGCATATGAAGCCAGAATATTGGCCAGCAACAAAAGGTGAGTTCAATTTGGCCACAAGAAAGAATAGTATCTAAGAGTAAAATGATGTGTAACACCAATTTGAATTTTTAAAAGGAATATGTACACTGAGAAAAAAAAATTGTTTAACGAACAAACACATTTAGTTGTTTACAGATTTGATTATTTTATCAATTTTTATTTAATTAAATTTAATCGTACTCTGCTTAACGTTAAACAGTTTGTTAAGCAGACTACGGTTAAACTCGATTAAATAAAATTTGTTTATTTATTTTAAAATTTGTTTATTTATTTAAAAAAAAAATAATCTGGAAACAACTAAATGTGTACAGTTAGTTGAACAAATTATTTTTCTCAGTGTATAAAGATAAATTGATTCGGGAGGGTAATTTACTCGCAAATTGCGAGTTTTTATATTTTTAAAAATATTGCTTATTTAAAATACAAAAATAATCAATAAACAACAGGGCTAATGAGAGTCAACGCGGATAATCAAGCCAAGTTTTGATCTTGTATAAAACTTGCGCTTGATTATCCGCGCTGATTGTTATTAGCCCTGTTATTTGTTAATCTTTTTTGTATTTTAAAAATTGAAACTCTGTTTTAATTATTATTATTTATTGTTTACTTATTTAATATGATCGCGATTAAGTTATCCCTGAATTCATCAGTACGCGATAGGACATGATTAGGCAGTAGCTGCGTTTAGCAGAAAAAGCAGCTTTGCAAATATTATAAATTATTAATTATTTCTTCAATATGTAATTGATTTATACATTTAAATCCATAAGGAATCAAAAGCAAGGGACAATCATATTGTAGAATTTTACATTTGTAAAGTTGCTTTTTTTGCAGCTATTAATGTATTCGCGATGTTATTACACATTTATGAAGTAATTTAGAAATATACGGGTAGAGAAGGTAGAGATAGGCGAATAGGCACGAATAAATGAAAATAGGGGTAGGTAGAACGATAAGTATGGATAGATAGAGACTGCATAGGTAGGGACAATAAGTATGGAGAAGTAGGGATAAACTCAATTTTAAATTAAAAAATTAAATTGTTTAACAAATTAAATGACACTTGAATAAATTTTGCGATCGGGTAATTAAATTAAATGTGTAACGAATCTAAGAAATAAACAAAAACCGTGCAACAAAGCCTGTTGATCGGAGCACATTAAAAGAGTATGAAAACTATATTATTTTACTTATTTGTAATATTCGTAAATATTTCGACAGTTGGACGATTGGCGCGCGTCTTTGGGGGGAAGAGGAGGATGACATGGGGCAGCGCTTCATATTATACGTAGTTACTGCGCAATTATTTCATTCTCGAGAATCCCGATCCAGACAACATAAAGTAAGACATTCCAAAAGAGAGACATAAGACATCTTTGGCGTCTAAAAGACGTCTCAATGTGTTGTCTGGGGAGGCTCGTACAGGCAGGTAGCTATGCCGTTTCTTCACATTTCTTTTTGAAATGTAATCGCAATAAATACATAATACGAATCGTTAAAATTAGTTAGAAAAAGTTTTTTAACCCTTAATACTATTATTAACAGTAGGAAGCTGAAATCATAACACAATATTAATATAATATAAAGGCATGTAACAGAGTAGTTGCGGGGAAATTACCCCCATTTCATCTATGTTTTCTGACTTCTGCGGCGTAAATCCCAACGCGGCGTATTTGTTGAAATTACCCTAAATATTCTTCGCGACGAGATAAGACAAAATTCGCTAAATTAACTTGTTTGAATTTTCAATTTCGTTTATTAAAATTCAACTCTTTCAACAATTCACTCATTCAACAATTCAATTCTTATTTACATATGTAGGAGATGCGAAATTTTTTCGTTCAAGGACCCATTAAACTATCCCTCCTATGGATAGTCGGCAGGCTTCTAGCCTCCTGAGGATTTAGTACAGAGATGAATCACATCTATTATCGACGATACGATTTTATCGATAGTTTCAGAAAATGTATATAGTCACGTAGTTCCCAAACTGAAAATTGAATGTACTGGCGGTAGTATACAGGCGATTTTGACAATCCTAACCTTCCATTTTCTAAGTGTTTTGAAGTTGATATTTGTTGGTTAGATCTCGTATTTTCAAATCATTGCATTTAATTCGTGTGTCTTTCTTGTTTTTATTTATATATTATACAGATATACAGAATTTAAGAATTATGTTATACATTGAAAGTCCAAGTCAAAGTGCAAAATATGGAATCTGCCTCACTATATACATATTGTAGGTTAGAAGTACTAACTTCGTAATCGATTGGTAGTATATTTAAAGTCAAATTTTCTTCTTTTATTTAATACACGAGAGATAATTCATTAACAGAAATCTTGAGAGTATTTCTGAAAAGAGTTTGGCAGAAAAAACTTCAAATTTTTACGTTCGAAAATATCTAAACTTTTTGTGGACACATGACAGGTCCCATAAAAAAGAAAATTTCCAATTTGTTCAACTTGTTTCCCATGTCAAAAAATTATCAAACTTACAGAAACT